GTAAGCCCTGCAGGCTTTGAAGTTAGCGAGTCTTGTAGTTGTTGAGTGCGCTGCAAGGGCCCTATGCAGGCCTACTCCTTCCATCAACATTTTGTATTACATGAACGCTCTGGAACGGGAGCTGTACTTGAAATATGCAGGAAGTTGGCACACGATTTCTATTGTTCTGGGGAGTTCAGGCTTTGGGGGATGACCCTTTGTTCGGAAGCTAGGATCTACGTTGTTGCAGTTCTTCACGGCTTGATGATATCACGAAGCTGTTAGCAGGAGGGGATAGATTGGGTATTCCCCCCAGTGAGATTCTACACACCCCATTTCCCACTTCGTGTTGTGTTCCTATAGAGAAGATGCAGCATTCGGGGATGTGGGCGTGATCGGTAGTAGAGAGAAAGGGTCACAATTAGCAGGACTGATAGGACAACGTCTTTTTTTTGAGTAGGCGTCAGTACACGTAGTTGGAGGCGCCGATCGTGACTGGGTCATTTGAAGTCGAGCAATGCATGGGAAAGCCATGCGTTTGAGCTAAGCCTTCGGGTGCTAGTATCGTCAATGCTCACATGTTTAAGACCTCACCCTACATGCGCAAATTGGGGCGCACTTGCAATTGAAACTGTCCATGATCCATTTTTTTGCGGGGGCCTCGGGCCTTCTTGTTTAAGACGCATTTTTCGAGTGCCGCAGCTTGTTCAAGGTGCAGAAGGCTTACTTGATCTGCAGAGCAGAGCACCAGGCCACCATGACTGGAGCCGCGTTCTTGCTTCTCTCGCTTTTGCCTGGTGTGTTCGCCGGGTACCCCAATTGGTGTGCCACAGTCCCTTTTGCAAGCCTTCAGTACGTCCCCGAGTGCCGTGGCTATGCTGGTTCCACAAACGAACCTGGTGAGCACGCAGCCTGTGCAAATTGGTGCAAGTGGGTGCCAATCTCTTCGATGCACTACACACCGGATTGCCATGCTTGCTCCGGGCAGGTGCAGCCAGTTGAAGAACCTGCTGCACCTCTGCCAGGGTGTGCCGATTGGTGTGGATGGTCCCCAGCTGCCTCCTGGCAGTACATGACGCAATGCCAGGCCTGCGCCCCTGGACAGCAGACTGGAGGGACTCCATCTACGGCATGTGCTCAGTGGTGCGGCTGGTCTCCCACAGCATCTTGGCAGTACATCCCAGCGTGCCAGGGCTGTGGCGGTACCCGATCAGGGCCCAACACGATTTATCCTTGAAAGCAGCTGGACTTGAAAGTGGGGCTTGGAGCATATCAACTGCCATTGGTCAATGGGAAAGGGCCTGCAGATGCTTCCTTTGTGCCACTTCAGAAGGTTGCTGTGGCTCGCATGTACAGTTTAGCGTAAGCCCATTCCTGTCTTGCCTGACAATCAGCAAGACCTTGTATTCACTATGTGCTTTTGGTCGCCTTTTGCCTGGAGGCCCTGACACGTCCTGACCAGCATTGCCGGAAGTGCAGAACAGCATAGGTCAGACTCACAGGATGTGCGACACGGCAAGTTGAAAGGCGCTTTTTTTCGGCTTCGAGGCAGCTGTAGCGTTGCTTGCAATCCTCAACCGTGTGAACTATAGTTTAACCTCCTTAACCGGGTTTGTTATAGGCGAGTATAATAGGGGTAAGTAAGTGGGATGCTAGTAGTTTAGACCCTAAGCCTTAGGCCCTAAACCCTATACTATAGGGACTATTAAGAGGGATACTAGGAGTTAAGACTATAGCTCGTGTGGAGAACCCCTGTCAACCTTTGAGCTTCCCTATGGACAGGGACCACTGCTCCGCGTCGCGCGGGAGGTGGGAGTTCAACATGGGTGGGCTACATTTGTTGTAGTGCTTAGTTTTTAGGGTTTAGGGTTTAGTGCTTAGGGTTTTTGGGGTTAGGGTTTAGGGTTTAGGGTTAGGGTTTAGGACGGCCGGTAGGGGAATGAAGGAATGGGATGCAGCATGCAGGGAGTACAATATGGGATATTTGAGGGCTGATACAGGGAACCACTCACTAAAACTCTAATGAATTTGGTACTTCTCATCGTCTCCCATTCTCTACCAAGGGTCTCCGTTGTTGAGACCCCTTGTTGTCTAGCTACTCAGGTACCCATCTGATACATTAGAGGCTGTGGCGTATCTAGGGCTTATGGTTTTTGTTGCCCTGATCCCTAAACCCTAAACCGTTCAGGCCCCAAACCTCACGTAATCCTTGTAAACCCCTGTGTGAACCCAAGTTGCGCCCATTTTTTCAAGTATAGATTTCATTCTCCACTTCCCCTTCATGCTTTGGCCACCAATACCTCAACTTCCAACCCCTGAACGAAAAGGTTTCTATTATCCCCACCTAAACCCCAAACCTTAAACCCTAAAACCTAAACCCATAATCAGATAGTCCCTCCCGAGCTATGGGGTATCTCGTGGAAGGCTGCGGTTAGTTTATGGGGATGAATTACATAGGGAATCTGATATGAGGGTCCCTACGAAGGTTTCTTTAAAGGCAATCTTGAAAAACTCCAATGTAAGGGTCTGGGATTGAGGGTTAGAGTGAAGCGCCAAGGATCCAGGTTGCATGGTTTACCAATCAAGGTTGTTGAGCCCTAAACCCAAGTTGCCGAACTCCCGCCAAACATAAAGTGACGATCATGGCAACAAGCCAATTTTCGTGTCCGGGAATCCATCATCAAGCCACCTACCCGTATTGTCCTAGGGATATACAGGATTATGTAGGATTAACGGAAAGTAAGCTGGAAACGATTATTTAGAGCATTCAGGGTTTTGGGTAGGCAGCTTCTCATGACAGAGTTGGAAGAGGAAGTCCCAAGGCAATGACGAAGTCAGGGCCCCCTCAACACTAGAGCGACCTTGCTGAAAAATGCCTTGACAAATGGACCTCCAGCTTTAAGATCCACCACCCCCCCTTCTCCGTCGTAGACCATCCCTATAAAGCCCCCTTCTGTGGACTTGACGGCTCTATCTCATCCCCAAACCCTAAACCCTCAACATCCCTATACCCTGCACCCTAACCCTAAACCCTTTGAAGCCCTAGCACTGCCCCACATGACAGGTTACGCGCGAGCGCCTTGGAAGCGATGATAGCCATGGCTTTGGCCGCGTCCGACTCTGAGAATTCTCGAAGTTATGAGAGATATGGGTATTCTATAGGTGGAACCCCCCACCCAGTAATAGTGGCTATAAGGGATAATAAGGATTATATTAGGGTCCTGTCATATTCCTAATATACCACTATTACATTCTCCAAGCAATTCCTATTTCATCCTTAATGAGGACACTATGTAATCCCCTTACTTACGCTCCTTGTATGTCCCTAGGATTTTTAGGGTTTGGGGTTTAGGATTCCTAGGGTTTTGGGCTTAGGATTCTTAGGGTTTAGGATTCCTTGGTTTAGGGTCCAGGGCCCCCCCTATTTTGAGAAGCTCGTAGATCTGAGTTGACATGAGGTGTTGATTTCCCCCCCATCATAGTATGGCTACTTGCAGGGTCAGGCAGACTTAGTGAGTTTACTTATAGCTCCTGCAAGCCATGCAAGAATCCAGCTTTCCGCATTATGAACCCACTTACTAAGTGCCCTTGACTCCAAACCTTACGACCTGCCCTTTTACTAAGTCCTTCTGACACTCTGAGTAAGGAGGCCAGGTTAGCACAGAACCTACGCGACTTCCGTCGCAAAACCTCCTTTACACAGGGGATTATATAAAGGACTACTATGGGGTTATTCAGGGGGATACCAGGCGTTTGGACCATAAACCCTTAACCCTGAACCCTGATCGTCGCTTTCAAATGATGGCGATCGCAGAAGCGCCAACAAAAACAAGATGTCTCGGAGGCATGATCTCCTTTACTGTCCGTTTGTTTTCTTTTTGGCATTTGGCGGTATTTAGAGTGTGTATGTGCATATATATATATACACATATTTATATGCCCTTATATATATATACACATGCTCCCTAATATGGACTCTTATAATCTCCTTATATCCGCTATTACATCCCTTGGGGTCTCTGCCCGGTCTCTATTTTGGAAAACTCAAAAGTGCAAAGAATGAGAGGCATGGGGCAGTTTGGAGGTGCAATCCTCATTCCGGTGGTAAACCCGTAACCCTAAATCCCAAAGCCTAGTCGAATGTTTTCAAGTTCACTTGAAGAGTTGTATGGGAGTTTCTCAAATTCGTTGCCCCCTAGAAAAGATAATACAGATCCGTATTAGGGACTATATACCCAAATTTCTTTCTGAAGTCCTCAGACTACATGCCTCCGGAGTGAGAGTCCATCTTTGTATGTACGCGCACACACGAACTTGTGAGTCCTCCTTGTAGATCCGTATGCGTAATTCAGGCCGCCCATATGTCATGTGAACTTGTTTGCAACTGCCTTCTACGCCCCCACCCACAGGTGGGAAGTGGGACGACCCGTATGAAGACCCCATAACATTATTGTACATCCCCCAACCAAGGGTGCAAGGGAGGAGTCCCTGATCCCAGTCATGATCCTGGGGATATTTGTGGGCTGTGGGGGCGGTCCCCCGCAAAAGTGTAGGCCTGCTGGTGGGGAACCTTTAGTTGGTGTGTTCTCAGCTGTTGCAGGGTATACGGGAAGGAGGAATGTTGAGAACTGTTCATGTGGAGGTTTGCAAGTAGTTGTGGCCTGGCATGCTGGTTGTGAGCAGAACTCATAGTAGCCCCGATACAACCTACGCAATCCCCAAGAAGATATTATCTCTCACGTTCTGTGCCATTGCTTCGGTCCCTTCTAATGACCAGTAAGCGTGGGAGTTCTCTGGATGCACCGCGTGACATGTAGTTTGTTTCTGCTGGGGCGCAGGATCTTGGGTGTATTCTTGATGCTTTAAAGTTGTTGTTGTTCTTAATGGGGGAACTCCGAAAGTTGGAGATTCTGAAACGGGTGGGTTCTATTGGTTATATGTGGAAACCCTACAAAACCCTAAGCCCTAAATACCGTCCTGACTTTTGGGCTTACTGTTTTAGTATTTAGGGTTTGGCCCCATGTAGAAGTTTGGGCATCCGGTTGGGCTTGGGCTTAAGAATTATGGCTCGGGTGGAAGCTTCTTCCCGGACATTATGCCTCCTTACTCGAAGAAGTCAAGATCATCCTACCGTCCCTGATAGGTGTCATCATAAATCTCGCTAGAGTCACTAGAGTCGCGCCTTGCATGCCAACCTAGAATCCAACACTCCAGACCCTACATAGTACATATTGCACCTTACACTCCGAACATTAAACCCTAAATCTTAAACCCTAAGTCCTAGACCCTAAACCCCAGACCCTCACACCCTTAACCCTGAACCTTTAACCCTAGACCCGAAACCCTTAACCCTGAACCTTTAACCCTTCACCTTAAACCTAAACCCCTAATCCTAAACCCTCAAGAGCCGAGGCACCTCTCGTGCAGGTGGGTCGAAGTAGTATGCTCGACGAGGTCAAAAGCCGTGCCCTTGCCTAAGGGGGGTACACATAGGGTGTAGGGTTAAGGGCTTATATAGGATTGTATATAGTTTGGGTATAGGGTTAAGGATTTATATAGGGTTGTACATATTTAGGATCAAGGGTTCATATAGGGTTGTATCTATTTAGGGTTAAGAGTTAAGGGTTTATGTAGGGTTGTATACATTCAGGTTTAGATTTACGGACTTATATAGGGTTATAAATGTATATTTAAGGTTTAGGCTTCAGGGTTTAGGGTTAAGATATAGGGTTATATCGGGATAGGGATATATACGAGAAGATGGAAAATGAGAGAGGTGGCTGGGGGGGGGGCGGGGCGTGCGCTCTTTGTAGACGAGCCATGCAGGATTTAGCGTTTAGGGTGTAGGGTTTAGGGGTTGATACTACAAAGCGTGTATCACCCACACTAAGTTATAGCTCGGGGTTTATGCGGTTTATATAGATATTTTCCGAACCTTGGCATGCTAATGCAGCGGACCCGAGGAAACGGATAATTTTGTGTTGAACGAGATCTAGTCCATCTAGTCTTCCATGACCCCACCCTTTTAAGAGCCTCCGGCTCAGTTCGCCGACCCAGAGGCCGAGAAATCGCGAAAGCCTAAACTCTAAACCTTGTGGTTTTCAGCGGCTGGCACGAGACCAATCGGGGCAACAAGATTAGTTCAAGCTAGGCTGCCGGGACTCAGCA